TAGCAGCCATAACTCCTCGCGGTCTCGTAAGCCAATTTGTTCGTCAACAAGACAAGTTTGTGAGAAAGATGGCATTCCTCTTGACACCTCCGTATACTCTCATCCCGTGATTTCGGTTTTCAATTTTGGCCCTCGATTTTCAGACTTTTTCAATATTATTATTTCAACGTTTCTTTATTACTATTTTATGTTATGTTGTGGTATATGTAAAATAATAAAATTAAACAATTATTGAAGAATATGTTTAGACAATAGTACCCAAAAAATTCCCAATAATTAGTTATACAAACGAAGTAAATTTTGTGATTTGGGCCTGTTTAATGAGTGTTCGATGGGTACCCGTTGACTTGATTTCATGCGTTAAATATTGTGGAAAAATAGAGTTAAAATGTAGGATAATGATTTCTTTTTTTTTTTTTTGTTTCCACTTACCTGGTAGATAGATTAGATGTGATTTGGATGCATTAACTAGCACTCATAAAAGAGAAATCGTTTTTAATTTTTATACTTTTATAGAAAGTCACATTTTTAGTATTTGAGCATGATTGATAACTTTGAAAAAAAAAATAGGCATATATATTTCTATATATCAAATTTTAATGGCATAGTAATTGTTGTTAAAATAATATGACTATCCTTTTTGAGCTAAAATTTTCATGGTATTTTGATATGAATTGATAAGGGTTCTTTTAGTATATTATAGAAAAAAAAAATTTAAAGTCATATTTTTGAAATTCAACAATATCCTTAATCGAGAAATAAGTAAAGGTGTGCATCGCTAATTCTAGTTTTTTTTTTTTTGGTGCAATGGAAAATAGTAAATTGATGCTAGGAGAGGATTGATTGGGATCTTTTAAGGCGAGAGAGAATTCAAATTTACTTGGAAAGACCAGAAGAGAAGATCCCTTTTTATTCAGATTTAGAAAAAAAAAAAAAAAAAAAAAGAAGATAGAGGTGAATGTGGACAGGGCATAGACCTCATACCGATCGATTAAATCTATTATTGTAGAGTTTTCTACAGAAGTATTGAATTTGTGAACTTAATAGTGTGCATTTATTTTTCTATTTTCTTTCTTTTATTTAAAAAAAAGGAAAAAAGAACTAGTGTGTGGTATCTTATCTTATATTTATCTATATTGCACATAAAATGAGAGGAAGGGATTTGAGGCAAACATTTGTTATTTTATGAACTTTTATTTTTTGCCCCTATGAAAACCATTTTTACTCTAACTACCTACACATTTGTTGTCAAGATAACTACCCATGAACATTTTTTACTTTTAACCATTTAAGCATGTATTTTCAACATAACTACTTCTGAGCATTATGGTTATCAACACAGAATTATTTTATAAAAAAAAAAATTAAAAGATTAAAGTTTTGCTTCAATAATGAAAATTTATTTAAAATATATGACTATAAATATTATATATTTTTCATTGGACACATATTGAATGTGCATTTAGCAGTAGTATATATAAAGGGGGATGAGGGGCATGATGTAAAATTTTTGTTTTGTCATTTTTTGTATTTTCTTGTTTAAATTCCCACAAAAAGTTAAATAATAGAAACCGCCAATAACTTTTCTTTCTTTGTTTGTACAAAACAAAATTAAAAAAACTCACATTAGAAAATCTAATAAAACCTTTAATAACTGCCCATTATTTTTTTATATAAAATTTTCTTTTAATTTACACACTCACGAGCGTGCATTTTCCGCTGGTTTCTTTTTGTGGGTGACCCAGAGTAAATCACCATTTGTCGCCAGTGGAGGCCGGAGACGATGGACGGACGGCTGTCCGAGACATTTATGGACACGTGTTTGTCCATGCCAATCTCCAGTGCCCACACTATGGCCACTACATGTGGGGTCCCTCCAGGAGCATGCGTCCAATGCTAATTGATGCTTCCAACCGTGTCTTAGCTGGACTGACAGAGTGGCCGACACTACCGCTTTCCAATACTTCGTCGTTTCAGCCATCCCCTACCTAGCCGCGTCCGCTGCCCCACCCTACCCCACAACATGCCTCCCCCTTTCCAAAATTGTTTGTTTAGACACTCCATTTTTTCAAATAACATTTCTTTTGCATCATAAACATATTTTTAATTTATTTTTTATATTATTAATCATTTTTTATTTCTCATATATTACATCATAAAAATATTATAATTATCCAAATAATATTTAAAAAACATTCCATGCAAACAGATTAATGAATCCCCAATCAACTTCCTTGGTGGATTCTACACATTCCTCGACGGCCTTGATATTTGTTGCCATTTTTCTAATTTGGCCTTGTTTGGATTGCGATTTTTCGTCGGAAAATTACGTTGTTTTCCGTGATCACATTTCCCTATTACCTTTTTCCCTCACATACATCAAATCGCTACAGTAATTTTTCCATGAAAAATCATGGAAAATGCAATCCAAACACAACCAAGTTTTGCATCATTTATTGTTTTTTCCCATGTACATGATACTACAAAAATCTGGCAATAAGTTTAGAATTCATTTTTTACCATTCAAATAACCTCTTACTGCTAACCCACTTCAACTCAACCACACAAACACTTATATAGATAATTGCTTGATTTAATTATTTGTTTGATTTTTATGATTTTTTTTTTTTTTGCATTAGTTCAACATAAGATTGTTTTCTTACTTGCACACATACATCGAGTGTGCATCAATCACTAGTATGTATTACTAGTCATCCAATCAATTAGAGGCTAGATAAAGGTATTGCTAAGATGTATCCATATACGTAGGATTATTATAATTTATTACATTATTTTTTTAACATTTGGTGCTACTATTAATTTATCCTTTAACGTTATGTTTTAGCCCTTAAAATTATTATTACTTGACCCCATAAACTATTTTTTTATTATCAATCTACCCCTACAACTATTTTTAGGCAATTTATCCTGCCATTAAATCAATTTATCAAATTTAAAAATTTTACAAGAAGGTACCCTTCTATTTGTATAATAAAAATAATAAAAAATGTACAATGGCTCTTCTCTTTTCTAGTGTCAAGAAAAAAAGTCAAAACATAATATTTTTTTTCTTGGTAATCTTATTAATATTGGCAAAAATAGAAAGGTATGAAGGGAGAATTTGGGGGGGGGGGAGACAGAGAGGCTAAAAAAATATAAATAAGAAAGAATTCAATATTTTTATTATTTTAAATTTACTTTTCTTTTATATTTACCACAAATTCCAATTTTAATTATGACAACATTAAAGTAATACGATAATATTATATATATATATTTTTTTTGCAAAATCTAATTTTCCGTCCCTTTTTTCTCCTATCTTACTTTATTTTCTAGTATTAATAAGTGCAAAAAGAAGAATTTGAGAAAACCTTTATATTTTTATGTTTTTGAAACTTTTAGAGTGAGAAAATAGAAGAAGAGCCATTCCAATTTTTTTTAATTATACATAAAAAGGGTAAATACATATAAAAAATTTTGAACATACTGATTAGGTTAACAATGGAGTAAAACGCTTATAAAATAATGTTAGAAAATAAAACGATTATATTACTATAATTTAAAGGGATAAAGTGATAATAACAATATAGTAATGATATAAAATAAAGGGGTATTTTTGTTAAAATTTTGTTAACATATTGAGTTGAATTACCTATGAGGGTAAAGTGATTAAAAGATAATGTTAGGAAATAAATTGATAGTAGTGATGTAATTTAAGGGTGGTAAAATAATAATAACCCATACATGTGATAGAATAAAACGAGTAAAGAAAAATGGAGTGTGTTGGAGAGACGTATGTTTTAAAATTCGAATCGGATCGGCTGGTCCGATTCGTCAAACCGAAAAATGGCCGGGCATTTGGGTTGAGTCAACTTTAAAAACAGCGCGTTTCAAAAACTTAGCAAACCCAATTTCAGTCAAAAAATTGGGTTTGACCGAGAACCAGTGAAACCTGATAAAACCTAGATTTTCCATTTTCATATTTTGGTGATTTTTTCCCATTATCTTCTTTTGATAATTGGCTAGAGGCTAAGAACCAGTCTAAAAATGGTATTACAAACTCATATTAGGAAAAATTTTCCATTATCTAAATTCTTTAAACCCATTTTTCATGCAACTAAAATTTGTTGCAAATTTGCAATCAAAGAAAAAGGAAAAAAGAAAAGAGCAAAAATTGGAAGAGAAGAAAGAGTTTTCATGTTGGCTTGCTATGTGATAAAAGAAAAAAGAGACTTGTGGTATAGTCTAAAGGAGAAGAAGAACACAGAGAAAAAAAAAAAAGAAAAGAAAAGAAAGCAAGTCACGGTTGGTATTGCTTTATTATCTGGATCTTCCTCCTCCTTAGTCCTCGACTGGTCGCCTGCTCCTCCACGTGAGTTTCCTTCTCAGAAGCCATGAATCAAAATTAACTTATAAAAACCAAATGGCTTTGTTGGGACTCGAAGAACAAGGCTTCGTTTTTTTTTTTGGTCAAAAACGAAGAACAAGGCTTTGTTGGGAGAACAAAAGATTGAAAGATGGATCATATTATAGTAAGCGACGGCACAAAAAAAAAAAAAAAGAAGTAAGAGTTAGGTTTAACATTTATTTGTTTTGAGTGCCCTAAAACTTTTTAATAATTGTGTTTTAGCCTTTTATAATTTTATTAACATGTAAAATTAACCCATCGCATTTTTCAAATTACATTTTTTACTCATGGATTTTAAAACTATTTAAGTAGAGTTCTTTTTGGACTAAATCTAAACTCAACAAATAAAATGTAAAGTTGTAAACTGCTAATCTAAGAAATACTTTTATGTATAATTTTAATTGTCTATTATTAATATATATTTATGATGATTTGACATTTGATTGAATTTACTGACCCCTAATCCCTGAGCTTAGGTGAGTCGATTTTCGATCTGAATCTAAAAACAGACTGCCCAAAAAGCTGGGGTCTATGGACTAAAGCCCATTACCACACAGAATGGCCCACCACAGATATAAAAGCGCAGCGTTCGAGTGGCAAGGACTCGCACGTCTCGAACTCCCAAAAATAAAGCAAAAGCGCAACCGGCCGTAGGGGAGCAAACGCAGCGACTAAAGCAGCAGCCTAAGCAAATCAAGCATCTTGGTGGTGGTGGTGGTGGTGAAGGAAATGGTGGGGTGGCGGGTGTTGGAAGCATTTCTACCGTTGGGAATCATAGCCGGCATGCTTTGCGTGATGGGGAATGCTCAGTACTTTATCCACAAAGCCGCCCATGGCCGGGTAATCTCTTCTCTGATTCAATTCTTACCCTTTCCTTCTTTGCCCCGATATTTCTATCAGATCCTTTCTCTCTCTCGCCCTAAGCACACATATTTCAATCATCTTAATTAATCATTTTGTTTTTTCAGTTATTCTTCCTTTAATATTATTTGGTGTAGTACTAGTAAATTATTAGTACTAAAATAAAAAAAGGTAATTTTGATGTTTGTTTGGCGGTAAATACTGCTGAATTGACAGCCGAAGCACATCGGCAACGACGTCTGGGACGTGGCCATGGAAAGACGGGACAAGAAGCTTATGGAGATCCTATCCTCTCCTTCTACTCCTAATTAACAGCCCAACCCAGGCAAGGCCCTTTCCTAATCCCACCTTCCTCTTCCTGCTACTTGTATATCTATTTATATCTTCTGTTACTTACTTTAAATCAACCTCTCATTACTTAAACGAGTGATGATCTTGCTAGTATTTTAAGTCAACCAACCTTATGCAAAGATTTAACCTAGCGACTCACAATTTACTCACTGGAATATTTGTAACCCGCTATGTCCATTGAACTCATCCATGGAGTTGCTACGTTGCCACTCCTAATGATTTTTAGAGCAACTAACGTATTTGTCATTGCTGAAACTCACGTTTACCTTTTGATTAGTGTTGGCACCTCTTTTACTGGTGGAAAAAATCGTTGACTAATTGGACCATTTCTAGGTTGTGATACTTCAAAAGGAGTCTCAAGGCCATATAAGTTGTGCTTGATCTCCTCATCCCTGCATATGTGGCATGCTTAAATGTATTCTGCCAGTGAGTGGGCTAAGATCGGAAGAAATACTTCAGCATCATATCAAATTTGATACTGGGTTTTCACGTGGTTCCCATTGCCTCAGTATACCAAAAAACAATGAACAAAAAGCATGAATAAGAAATTTAAAAAGGGGACTGAAAAAAAAAAGAGTAAGAAGAACGATAAACTCGCAATCTGTTGTTATATCTCCTCCTAAATAGAGACTGTGAGGGAAACTGGGGATGGGCTTCTGGAGTACATCATGTACATTCCTGTGTCTTCTACTTTTTTGATAATGTGCAGCTATAGCTTCTTAGTCAATACATGTCGTGGGTTCTAAGGTTTGTTGGCATTCTGAAAAATGGAGCTTTCTCCATGCATGGTCTTGAATGCTAATACTTCCTGGCTCCCTCTCTCTTTCATATGCACACAAACACAAAATCAAGGCACCTTGAGAAGTTATATAAATAGTGTATGATTTTGGTTCAGTATGTGCCGTTCACGGCAATAGTGACTTGGTCTCTTGGGTACTTTTACTGGTTCCTCAATTACTTATTCACGGGACTCTAGGATAAATAGGAGTGCTTTTTATTGTTTCTGATTAGTGTTGGATCATTGAGGATCCTAGCTCGCTGGTGTCCATTTCTGCATACCATCATAAGCGGCCAATAAGAAGTTATTTGTGGGCCTCGTCAAATTTTAAGCGTAACTTTTTTTTTTTTGTGCGTAGTTCTGAAGTTATAACAACTGTTTTTATCTGTTTTAGGTTGATCTTTAAATTATCTGTGGGGATGCAGAATTTTGCTCATTAGAGCCCTTCTTTTTATACAAGTTTGGTTGTCGTGATTGTTTTTTCAGCCTGAAGATTGTAATGCATTTTAGGTTATTTTTTATTTTTCTGCTTAGCCAAATGTTGTCTACCTATTAACCTCAGACATGGGTGGCCAGTTCGGCTCTGTGGTTTTACTCTTGATGGGTCCTTGTAAGCCTATTTGTTAGTTTGACAATCACTTATGTGAGAAGGTAGTACAAGGTTGCTCGAAAGATTTGAATCTCCTTTTCTGATATTATTGGTGACAGCAGTTGGAAAATTTAATTTACATCATTTTCTTGTCATCTAACAGGAAGCACTATTGGTGGAGTTTTTGGAAATAAGTTGCTCTTCAAGGTTCCCAGATATTGAAGTTGTATGCAAACAAGTTGAATTGTTGTCTCCTTCTGCAGCTTTCTTTAAGCTTTTGAACTTAGAAAAAAAAAGCATTCATCAAGCTGATGTTGATTATGTGAATTTGATGGATGATAAAATGACTATAGATGTTTGAATAATGTAGTACTTAACCTATGTTTTAGTTTTACCCTAGGTCGAATTTCCATAGACTTTGTTGCGATATTTTTAGCCAAATGGGCCATCAAGTGGCAGCTGCTGTTCAAGAATTTAGGGAAGAATGGCATGCTATTAACCGCCCTCGTATTTTTGTCCCAGTTGGTTGTTGAGGAGCGTTAAGGAAAAGAAGATGAAACTTCTCTTCTTTTAGAGTACAGGGAAGAAATGAAACGACTTAGGATTGTTGGTGAGTTTTCCTCTAGTCTAACTTTCTGAGGAAAGTTGGTATTCTGACTTGTGAGCAAATTCAGAAAAGATTTCTTCTATATACTGATAGTGTGCATTTTTATCATTAGATGTATGACACATAATCGAATTTGAATTTGAAACTCAAATTTTGCATATGTGTCATATATGTAATCGTGATAGTGTATACATCGTCAGTGTATATAAGATTTACTCATTCAGAAATGGTCTTGTCTCCAATTTTTCCACTTTGAGAGAGAGTGGGACGCTTTCTCTCCAGTTTCTGTGTCCAGTTGAAGAATACCAGGTGGAAGAACTGATTCTTTTTCTTTGATTCGACTCCGCAATTGTATGATGGACGGAAGGGGAACAAATGCAGGATTTCACGAGGGCAGGGCAAGTGGAGGCACCTGGGGACGAAATCCACTTGACAATATAAGGGACACTTTGAAATTGGTTATTATTATTTTTTTAAATATTGGTGGGGTGCCGGTGGGGGGGGGGGGAGGTGGGGATTTGTGATGTGGTCTGGTGCGGTTTGTTCAGCTCAATAAACCAAAGTTAGCTCGTCGGTTGCAACCATTCTTCTTAGCTAAAAGTCACTGGGATTTTATTTTGAGTCGGTTGCAAGACTCTATATATTTGCGTCTCTCTAAACCAAATAGGTGCATTACTACGCGCCTTTAGAGGTTTGAACTTTGAACTGGAGTAAAACTTGTACATTACGCTTCATTTGGTAATCAACTCATCTGAGGGGAGTTGGCTCCAAAGCCAGCTGACTAAACACTGAAGATAAAGAAACAACAACGAATCAAATCTGGACCTTCTTCATCGAACGACTTTAAAGGAAGTAAAGGTGCTTACCCAAGTCTCACGGTGAACAGAGCATTTAGTCGTACCTTGTCTCTCTATATTAACTACCGTATCAACCAGGCAGCCTAAAACCTCCCGCCCGGGTTTTACCAGAAGCCTCGTGGAGACAGTTTACTACTTGATCCTGGTCATCATCAACTACTCCAATTAAGTTGCCAACAGCTTTAGACCAAAGCTAAACGCTCCTCCTTCACTCGCCTTCTTGTGTAAACATCAGATGAAGAATGCCATCGCAAAAACATCAAATTGGAATTTTTGTTTTCTTTATTTCTTGTAGATGGGACAACAGCAATATCCATGGTCAAAAATGAAATCACTCTAGCCAGCAGCCTAAATGCAGACCACCACGCCGCCTTACACAGATAATACAAGCGTAAAAATGAATTCTTGTTTTTCTTTTTTTCCCCCAATCCAGGGAGGTAACAGATTATTATGTACACAAATAATCCGCCTATAATACTAAGCAACCAACAAGAAGCAAGGGAAAAAAAATACCGAATGAATGAGATGGGTGAGCAGTGGTGACTGCTCAAGGCACGTATTCAGTCTCAAGGGTTGGTTGCGTCCGCGTGACAGTAGCAGAAGGTGCTTTAGTGCTCCCAACTCGAGTCATATGCAGCGCCTCCCCAACCTCTGCAGCCTTTTCCATCTGTTGCATTTTCTTCCTCGTCTTGAACTTGAGCATCCAGACGACGAGCAGCCCTAAGAGAACCAAGAGTGCTAATCCCCCCAGCACGGAACCCACAATTATCCAGACCGCCTTTTTATGGTGGTGGTTCTTCTTTCCTCCTCCTTTGCCACCAGGAGGAGGAGGAGGAGCTGGAGGCGGCGCGGGTGCAGGTGACGGGCCAATCGACTCGACCACAATCGAGAAATGCCCCTCTCGAAATGTTGCACAGGTGTTCTCAGATAACATAGCGCTGAAATTGAGAAGGCCCTGCAAATCAAAGGAGACGCACTTGGGAACCGACCCATCCGGTACTGCTGTTCTGGTCATGACCTCTGAAAATCTGATAGAGATGGGTTGTTCGGTAGCCTTGATATCCAGCTCGGGTAAGTTAGTAGCCGAGAGGTTGGAAGCATCGTAAGCAAGGAGACCCAGGACTGGGGCTAAGAAAACATAACCAGAAGGTAAAGGGTAATAGAGGGAGGACCAATTGCCCAAGTTGTGATACACAAAAACAAGGCGTTCCACGTAAGGCTCCTCAACAACACCCACGGGAAGCTGAAATTCTTTATACATCGGGACGCCCCTAGTCCTCAAGCTGCCACTCCGGAGCCTTAACCCCGAGACCTTAATCCCAGTCAAATTGTAGGGGACCCGTCCATCGTAGACGACACCAGTCCTGGGGCGAACAAATGAGCGGTAAGCAGAGTCCTGGAGAAGTGCATCCAGGGCCCGTGCAGCGCTAAGTGAAGCAGCAGGAGAAGGCAACCAGAAGAGCCAAGTAAGGAGGATAAGCATCGAGAGACTTGTAAGAAACCCCATCCCATGGATGCTGCTGGGTTGCTTCTTCTTTGAATTTTATGAAATCTTTCTCAAAACGTACAATCAGAACAAGGGAAATTTTTGAACAACACTCTAATAATTACACATAACTATTATTACTGCTTGGGGAGTTGGGAGTAGTAATATATATTGGAGGAAATGGATCTGAGATCCAGAATGGATACAAGTAGCCAAGGTCGAACCCCACCCCCCGATTTTGGATTGAACCAAAAAAGGGAGGTCAGGCCACGTAGAATCAATCAATCTTGAAAAAACTACAAGTTGTAAATCTGCCCCAGAATGGAAGAATGTTACTACTACGGTCTTACCGTACCAGTACGCTAACACTCCACGAGTTAATGTGTAATGTGCATCTCTTTTGCTTTTTTTTTATACCGCAAAGCAAAATGATAGCTAAAGTACAACGGTAACTGTAGATAGAAGACGATTAAGGGCGGAGTGGGGAATAAAGCTAAAGAGTGAGAGAGGAAGGGGGGAACCGTTGCGAGATTGCAAAGCAGCTTGATACGCTGCGAGTTTTAACTCTTTGAGGAGATGGACAGATGCAGCAGCAGCAGCAGCCCAGCAGCACTTTCTTTCTTTATTTCTTTCTTTTTCTTACCACCAGAGCAAAAAAGAAGAAAAAAAAAAGGAAAGAAAGAAAGAAACTCTCAATTCTTGGGGAATGCTCGTGCAGATGATAAAAACACACAGGCGATGGCAGTGAGCAGCAGCTCCTCCTCAAGCAATAGAGTGAAGTAACGACATATCATAGGAGCATCTTTGTTTCAAATCGCCCCCTCGAATCAGCCTGCTCCTTTTGACCGAAAAAAATAAAAATAAAAATAAAAATCAGCCTGCTCCTCAGCACTCATTCTTTGGGTTTCTTCTTCTTCTTCCCATGTTATCTTTAATTGGGATAAAATCAGTTGAGAATTGAAAATTTTCAATGGGATTAAAAAGATGACTGACTGAGATTTGCTAAGAAAGTAGGGAACGGAAAAGGAAGAGTGATTTGCTAAGAAAGTAGTAGCAGTATTAGGCTGTTAGCATTTGGAAAGGCAGAGAGCACTGTTTGGTCCGTAGATTCCCCCTTTAAATCTCTAAATCTATCGAATAATAAGAATCTGAAACCAAAGGCAGCAACTTCTTTTTTTCTTTTCTATGACTGGAGGAGGAAGAAAAAGGCAGGGCAACAGATAAAAAGACCCTTTTCCCCCACTAATACCCACCAACCCAGCCCCTCTCTCTTCTACTAGTAACATTATTAATTTTTAATAAAAAAAAGGAGAAAGAAAAGAAATACCCCCCCTCCCCCCTCTCTGCCCCGGGGGGGGGGTTTTTTTTTTTTGGGGGAACAAACGAAAAGAAAAAAAAGAATCTAGCAGACTGCAGCACTTGGGGGAAGAATTATTTTATTTTTTAAAAAAAGCCACTAAATTTGAGAGGGGAAGAGCAGAGATTATTAGCTGAAAAAACCCATGTAGCGTAGCCGAAGGAGAGGAGCGGAGCGGGCGGGGGAGGCAGTGTAGCCTGCAGGGGCTGAAGAGTACACGAATTTTCGGTAACTTGGAAGTTTATAACCGAGAAGCCCCAGGGTTGGCTGCCTGGTGTTGGGGAAGCCTCTTTAGGTTCTGGCATCGAGTGGTCGCGGTTCGATCCTTATTAACACGTCTTTAGGGGGATGGGGTCACAAGTGCAATGGGATTAGTTGGACTCGAAATATTATTCCGTTGAATCCCGAATACCCAAAGCATTAGCAAAAAAAAAGAAGTTTATAACCGAGAAAAGGGATTGCATAGGATTTGGATAAAATGCGGAGTATTGGATAAATATTTGATTTGGAATTCAAGGTTATAGTATTTTTTCTTCGATACATCACCTCAAAAAAATATTATAATATTCTTACAAAAAATTATCCCAAATAATTTATTATCTATAATAGGTCTTTAATAATATTTTCATAGTTTAGTTTTGTCCTAATATTTTTTCCTTATCATGTGAGACAAGCGAGATATTTTCCTTTGTCTAAAAAATCTGTAATTACAGGGATAAAATTTAACAAGATCTATGTCCACAAATGTATAATAATTTTCATTAATATATAAGGGGTAAAGTGCAAAACTACTGTATTGGTGCCTCCTTGTGTATTTACCTCCCGGCTTCAGTTTTTTACCAATCAGAGAGGGAAAGGCGTAGTAATACACACATACATACGTGTATTTACCATCATCATCACTCTGTATCATCACATACATTATACGTACGACTTTCATCCAAGAAACACGTAAAGTTGGATTGGGATGTAAAACAAATTAGTATTTCTATTAAATTGTTCTGTCTCCCGGTATTATTTTAGACATTGACTTTTGGGTCGCATTTCCCTGTGAGGAGCTTTGGTGCCGGTGCTTAGGCATTTCCCTGATGATTTGATTTGTTAGTACTTCAGATTGGTAACAGTAAAAATTAGGGTTGGGAGGGGAAGAAGAGATGATGTACTGGTACTAACTTTTTTTTTTGGGGGGGTTGACGAATCATCGTGTTTGATTCTCATTTCTCAACGACGACGACAACATCAACATCAACATCAACGTCAATTCATTACAGTTTGCAAAGCCTTTTTCGACGGAGTTTCAATCTCTAACAAGGTAATTTCTTCCCCCAATTCAAATTGTTGTTGCCAATGCCTTCTGCCCCCGTACCCTTATTTCTTTCTTCCATAATCGCATCCTGTCCAAATGCAAATATTTATGTATTAGAAAAAAATGAAAGAAAGAAACAAATGGAGACAAGGACCCAATCCTTAATTTTATCATATGCTTCAATCTGTTATTACTATTTCTTTCGTCTTTCATTGGTTTAATTATCCTGCGATTACGTGCTTTGCTTTACCTGAATCAAGCCTATTTTCCATTTGCTTTCTAGGGTTAGGTTTAGGGTTAGGGGATCATCATCATCATCATCCTCCACGCGCATGGAAGCGTCCGTTGGCAACAATACGGACGCTGCTTACAGACCTACCGGTGCTTCTGCTCCTAATAACTCTTATTCTAACAATACTAGTAACCACCACAACAGCACAAGTGGCCACCACCACCCGTACCACCCCCCAAGGAGATTTGGGGGAATGCAGCTCTCTGCTTCCAGTATTTTTCGTTCCCCGTTGTCTGCATTGTTGGAATACTCTGGAATTCTCAGAAACCGCCCCTCCTCTTCCTCTGACAACCACCACCACCACTACAACTCCACCTTGTTAAACGCTTCTGGAGTGTCCCGCCCCTATCATGATGATCACCTTCAGTCCCGCCTCCTCCTCGACAATTCCTCCTCTGCAGTTCCTGCATCCCTCAACATTTCCAACGCTACTGGTGCTCCTGGAGGGGAGGTTTCGATTAGGATCATTGGTGCTGGGGAGGACCACCTCAACAGGGTTAGCGCTCCCTTGCCTTCCCCTGCTGCTGCTTCTACTCCTGCACCCCTCAGGGAAGTCAATGCCCAAAATGAGGTCTTCCTTCAACCTATTTCCAGGACGACTTCATCAGTCTCTTTGGAAGGTCAAGGTGATCGAGGAGCGGGTTTAGGGGTTCCCAACAGAATTCCTCATCCCACTGCTACAAATGTTGACACTGAGGCTGGCGATATACCTGGGTCCGATAATAGGGACTCTTCTTATCAGAGATATGATATACAACAGGCTGCTAGGTGGATTGAGCAGGTTCTTCCATTCTCTTTGCTGTTGTTAGTGGTCTTCATTCGGCAACATTTGCAAGGTAAGCCCTTTTCTTCACCTCTTTATCTGATTTTGGTGGCACACTAAGTAATTTTGGCGATAGCAGATTTGACGTTGTTACTCCCAGAGCAAGTGTCCTTTTGCTTGCTTCTTTAGTTATAACCCTGTGGTTCTCTTTGGTGCTTTCGCTTTCTCAAAGTATATCAACCTGTGCCAATTTCTATGGATGTGCCTTTGTTTAAAATTCTGTTGCTAATTCTTCTTAAAGTTCATCATATGCGTGATGATGTGGTAAAGGCTGCTGAGTATGTAACAGAACAGCTCCCCCACCCCCCAAATCTTTTCACCTCACCATATGCATGATGATGTGGTAAGGGCAACTGATTGCAACAGAAACTTCCCCCTCTCTTTTTCTCTTTTTCCGTCTCCATCCATATGAACGTTTTATTCCTTGGGCACCACTTAAATATATTTATTATGTTTTAGGCAAGTCGTGTTTGAAACTTGGAATGCACTAAAAGAAATGCAAAAATGGTCATCCGTGTCTTGAAGGAGGATAGATATCAGGTTTTATGCTTTAAGATTTAACTGTTCAACATTCAACATATTGCCTCTCTTAACCCTCTTAGTTCTAGCTATATGAAATTTTCCTCTTACAGATTCGTATGCTCTCTTTGCTCATTTTTACCTTTTTCTTTTTTCCTTGATTATATGCAGTATGCAAGATATTCCAGGGTCATCTTGGAGTCCGTCTTAGATTGTCTAAACTGCTATGTACATTCAGCTACTTAAGACCACATGAGAACCTTTGTTCAGTTGGGAACGGATCCTATCTGGTTCTAGCTTTTGATAGCCACTGTATATATTATCCAACCAATGGTTGTCTTCATTGGATGCCGTGCAAACATGTAGGACACTATAAGAGTCATTTTACTGCTACAAGTCCTTAGTTGCTGCTTTATCTCCCTGACTTAAAGTGGTGCTTTGGAGCCCTAAGTACCTTATTGTTTGTGTAGTAAATTTTCAAATTGATTCTCTAATGCAAGAACTTGCAGGCTTTTTTGTTACAATTTGGATTGCCGCGGTGATGTTCAAATCAAATGATATTCTACGGAAGCAGACAGCTCTTAAGGTGCTTGAATTAAGGAATTGGTTTGCTGAGCTAGAAGTCTGACTTCTTGCTTCATCATTGTTGTTGTAAAAGTTTCGCTATTGAGCAAAGAAATTGCTTATGCTTGCAGGGAGAGAGAAAGATATCTGTTTTGATTGGCATTTCATTGGTTTTCACACTTCATGTGGTTGGCGTTTATTGGTGGTATTGGAATGATGATCTTCTGTCTCCCTTGGTCATGCTTCCACCCAAGGCTATTCCACCGTTTTGGCATGCTATCTTTATAATAATGGTGAATGGTGCGTGTGAGTCATTAAATCATAGTCATGGCTTTTGTCTTTTGGTTGAAAAAGTGATTTATATTGGGAAAGAGAGGGGTTTGCTAGTGTAATAAAGTTCTTTTTTATAAGAGCAATTAGCATGGAAATCACCAAGTGTTGCATTGCAATAGTAGAGTTTTGCGAATTTCACTCTTTGCCCCTAGGAAATTTAGTGTAGCTTATGGACATCTTCCAAGCACCATAGATTTGTACATCCATTTATGTTTGCACTCTATCTATAAGTCTGTCGCTGTCTTGTGTACACCGTCAGATTGGTACTCACCCACTTACTATATATTTGATAGAAACCACTTAACAATAAATAAATTTATGTTTCCAACACTTTGAATGACTTTTTCAGTTTTATTTTCTACATTTCAGACACTCTGGTCCGTCAGGCTGCTATGATTCTGAAGTGTATTCTTCTAATGTATTACAAGAACAGCAGAGGACGAAGTTACCGAAAGCAGGTAACACTGATTGGAACTTTTAAATTGAAGTGCTTGCTAGCTATTTATCTTTTATGATGCAAGATCACCTTTGAATCTGTCATCAGCATCTGACACGAGGTTTTTGTTCATAGGGTCAAATGCTCACTTTGGTTGAGTATTTGCTGTTGCTTTACCGTGCTTTGCTGCCAGCTCCTGTTTGGTATCGCTTCTTTTTGAACAAAGAATACGGGAGTCTTTTTTCGTCCCTAATGACTGGGTTATATTTGACTTTTAAGCTCACATCTGTTGTTGAGAAGGTAGAGTTTAAATGTGCATTCTCTTGTGTTCCTCTTCTTCCCTTCAGTTTTTTATAATTTTATGATCCATGACTTAAAATTGTTTGAATTCATCTCTGTGTCTGTTATAATATTCATTTAATATGACATTTTTTTCAGGTCCAATGCTTTTTTACAGCTTTGAAAGCTTTGTCATGCAAAGAGATTCATTATGGAGCTTATGCTACTTCTGAACAGGTAACTTCTCTAATTACTGCTTAAATTTACTGTAAGTTTCAGCTCCTCTTTGAGTTCCACAAACGAAATTTACATGCAAAATATTTTTTTCTCAAATGAATAA